ATGGCTGGTCTCACCAGCTGTTCCTCAACGCCTCTACTTTGACTATCCCCAACTTCATGAAAGGAATTGACGGCCGATGATCTCCGATACCGTGCAACCCCCTCCCCCCTCCCCCCCCCCTTCTTAACGTCGATATTCTCCCACCGCCGGCAGTTTTTTCTCCTGAGCCCTCCAAACCATAAAAACCATCTTCAACTATATTTTTATTCTTCAGGAGTTTTTTCTCACTGCTGGTCGGATTTGTGTTTAATCGCTTCCCTTGACAATGCCTGTATACTGGCATTAAATAAGATTTATTTAATTTATTTGTTTATTTGACTTCATCCCATATTTTCATATAGTATACGAATATGAGCGCCTCGCATTCCAGTATGCTGATGCAATCATTAACATAAGTCAGGAAGAGAAGTAGGCCTAAGACAGAACCCTGTGGGACACCACTTTCCATTTTTTCCAATTTCGGCGTAGAGTTACCAATGACGACCCCTTGAAGTCTGGAGGAAAGTAAACTCCTGATTCATTTAGACATCCTTTCGTGAATTCCGACATCGCAGATCTTCTGTAAAAGGAGCCTGTGGTGAACATTATCAAAGGCCTATTTGAAGTCAAATATATGAAATCTACTGGATAGCCCTTGTCGGTAGCTCTTATCTATTTCTTGTGCGAATAAAGAACACTAGTTAGGCAGGTGCGTCCTGGACGAAAGCCATGTTGGGCATCACACAATATTTCGTTTTTTTCCAGGTATCGCACCAAATGTCTTTGGTAATGTGTTCCATAATTTTACACACGATGTAAGTAAGACTGACGGGACGATAATTTCCGCAGTCAAGTCGTAAAGCTCCCTTATGGATCGGAGTGATGAGTGCGCACTTCCATTCTTCCGGGAGCTCGGCTTCTTCAAATGACTTCTGAAATATTGCTGACAATTGCTCGCACAGTTTATTAGCAAGTTCACGAAGTGCTATTGCAGGGATTCTCTTTGGGCCAGGCGATTTGGTAGGTTACAGTCGGAGTGGTTCGGCCATAAATATGGTGAATGAGAAGAATGGTTTCTCGATTAAGGAGTCTAAGGAGGGTGTAAGAGGGGGAATGGGACTACGAGGAAGCGTCGGTTGGCGAACGGGCGGGGGGACGAATATAGAATGTTTTCGAACTCGCTTCGTAGCTTGGATACCTCACATTTAAAAACGTTTCGTTGTTGCTTATACTCCCGTAAGTGTTCTTCGGAGCCAGTGGGTCTGTAACGCATCCAAAGACAATTCGTTTTTTGAAGGAGGCCTTTAGATCTGACAATTGCTCGCACAGTTTATTAGCAAGTTCCCGAAGTGCTAGTGCGGGAATTCTATATGGGTCAGGCTGTTTGGCAGGTTACAACCGGAGAGGTTCGACCGTAAATATGCTGAATGAGAGGTGTGGTTTCTCGACTAAGTGGGGTAGGAAAAGGTTAAAAGAAGGAATAGGACCAGGAGGTGACGTTTGTTGGCGAACAGATGGAGGGGTAAATATAGAACTAGGATCTCGGGTGAAGACGGACTGAAAGAAGCCAGAAAGGAGGGACGTTTTAACCTGGTCGTAGTCTCCTCTTTTCCATCTGCGGACCTAAAGGGAGGATCAGCTCCTAAGTCCTTTTAGTAACCCGTATAAAGCCATATACAATTTTCGGACGCTCCAACGAATTTGGCAGTATGTTCAATTTGAACTTTTTGCCATTTGGAAACCTCACTTTTAAAACTTTCCGTTGTTGCTTATATTCCCGTAAGTGTTCTTTGT